GAGGGGCGGCGCGACTCTGCAAAAGTTGGTTGTGGAATCCACATGCAATCCCACTCCGTGGTAACACACAAAAAAAGGTACTGCATCCTTGTGGGTTTTTCGATGGGTACGGTGAGTCAGAATATCCACCGTCGACAAAGACCTCTGGGGCAAACAGCGCGCACACACAAACGGCTGGAAAATAGCAAACACAATCATCAGAAGGGGGAACATACATAGAATCACATTTGAGGTCCGGCAGCAACGATCTCCACCACCGGAGATGGGTCTCTGCGGGATCGTCCCAGAACACCCAACAAACATGGCCGGCTGGCGCAATGGTAGCGCGTCAGACTTCTAATCAGCTTCATGTCCAGTGAAGCGGATCAGTTGTTCATCTGAAGGCTGCGGGTTCGAGCCCCGCGCTGGTCAGTTCTCTTTTGCATGTTGCAATTTCTGTTATGGATTTTGACTCGAAATCTTCATCAAGTCGTGGGCTTGCAAAAAAGGCTCAGCAACTTTCTTTTTGCTAACAGTTCGTTCGGGTGGGGATCTACGGGTAGTCTTACGTCTGAGGTGTGAACCCGTTTGTGAGCTTACAAGTCTCTACTGAGAGAACATCGTTTCTAGTGTTTTTGTAACTTGATATGCTGGCTTCACCCCTGTGATCAGCTGTCTGGCGTCATTTACACCGACAAATCTTCGATATCTGGTCCAATTCAATACTGAGGTAGACGCCCCGATTGCCAGCGTCATCATAACATTTTATAGCAGTTTCATCTCGAACTATGTACAAGACAAGTAAACGCTGTCGCTTTTTAGCCTTGCTCAAATCTCCAAGTCAAACGGGGACAGCTTAAGTGGTCTCTTGTTGTCACATCTCCTGTGTTGTAGGCACCCGATATGGCATATCCAAGGCAAGAGCTTGCTTCCTCACCCAAGTCGCCAGATCAAGTGTTCATCCACTATTGCACTGCTTCAGTACACCGACGAGACCTCCTCTCTGCCTTGAAGTCCCGTCTCTGCTTTAAACCTGCAAGCACACGCCTGGACCGGGGCCTTGCTCTCACCACTTGCCCGTCACAACCCGTACCCTCACCCGAACACAACCACATTCTTCCCCTCCCCCTTGCCCCCGAGGTACTCCTGCCTCATCTCCTCCGCCTGCTCAATCCTCCACTCCTTCATCTTCACCTCGACGCCGTGCTCCGCCACCAGCCCCAGCAGCTCCTCCGTGTCCTCCCTGCTCGCGACCAGCGAGCCCACGAGCGTCAGGTCGCGGAAGATGACGTCCTTGTACGTCATGGTGATGCCCGCGTCCGGCTGGCCCAGCAGCACCAGCGTGCCGTGCTTCCGCGTCACCGCGGCGGCGAAGGCGAACGCCGCCGGCGCGTCGGTTGCGAGGACCGTGGCGTCGAGGCCCGGGTACGCGCCGCCCACGACCTGCGCGATTTGCGAGACGGCGTCGGGGGCGGGCGTGGTTGCGAGGATGGCGAGGTCTGGTTTCAGGGGGTACGAGGCGGCGAGGTCCAGCGCGGACTGCTTCACGTCGATGGCGACGACTTTGTAGCCCTGTGGACACGGTCAGTTGATGAAGAGAGAGTGAGAGAGGTGTGGGTGCGGACCATGGCCTTGGCGAGCTGCGTCCCGATGTGGCCCAGCCCGCCGATGCCGACGATGCCGATGGAGCCGCCGGGCGGGACGGCGGCGCGCTTGATGCCGCCGTAGATGCTTATGCCGGCGCACATGAGGCAGGCGGCCACCGGGTAGGACATGGCATAGGGGATCTTGACGGTGAAGCGCCAGTCTCTGGATAGATTGTCAGCGTGTGTGTGTGTGTGTGTGTGTGTGTGTGTGTGTGTGTGTGTGTGTGATGCCGGTGGTCAGCAGTCTCGAGCGATGGGGGGAAGGAGAAACGAAAAGAGAACAGAGAAGAACAGGAGGGGGTTTGCTGAGGAATGGTTTGTGCGTACGCAACCATGTACTCCGCCCAGGCACCGTCGGTGGTGATCCCCTTCATGAGCATGTTGTCGCAGTAAACCGGCCTCCCGGCCTTGCAGTCGGGGCATTTCCCTTTGGGACAGAAGTCAGCGTCGGCGGTCCATCATCGGTCGGCGAAGTGAGTGTGTTCATGACGACAGGCTCTCTCTCTCTCTCTCTCTCTCACTCACCACAAGCACCTTCAAAGTTGATGCACCCCACGCAGTCACCCTCCTTGAAGCCCTGCACCTCGGCGCCGACCTCGATGACGACGCCGGCGGGCTCGTGGGACCCGATGACGGGCAGCGGGGAACCGAAGGCGCCCTCGTTGACCATGCAGTCCGTGTGGCAGAAGCCGGCGGCGCGGACGCGGATGAGGAGCTGGTGGGGCTCCGGCCGCGGGACGGGCACGCGGGAGACGGCGTACGGCGCGTTGAAGCTCTTGAGCTGGATGGCCTTCATCGTTTTCGGGAGCGGAGCCATCGTTTTGGTTGCGGTTCGGCCCGTGGGAAATGGAAACTGCCTGCTTTCTGTAGTGAACTCTATCTCTCTGTCTTTTTGTGAAGTGAGACTGTTGAAGTTGCACCTGGGTTGTATGTAATATGATTTCCGTGCATCGCGGGGTAAAAGGGTGAGGTAAGGACAGGCAGGACGTGGTGGTAGGTGCTTTTGTTTGGGCAGGGGGAGCTTTGATTGTCAACGTCATGGCGGGCGACCCGGCGAATCCGCTGAATGCGAAGAGACATGGCTGCGCTTGCGGTTGCAGTTGCCCGTTGTCCACAATCGATCCCTGATACACTAAGAGCGAGAGGATATGACAAAACGGCGCCGAAGTGAGGCAATACGACGGCCGAACGACGCTCGGCTGTTCAGATGTGGAAGTCGGTTTGCGCGGCGCTTACATGCATCGCGACGATGCCTCGCTGGACTTGTCAATATCCATTTTTGGTAAGCTATGCTCACACAATCACAAGCCCCGCTGAACTCTGAACCACGAGCAGCCTGGGCGCACATGTGGCTCATGTGGCGCTGCTGCTGCACCAAGCGAGCGTCTTCCGTTCAGCCGCCTCCGCCGCGCAACGGGCATTGATAACGGGCAATTGAATATTCAGCGCGAACTGGCCGACTCTTTATTCAGTGCCTGGCTGTCGACAGGTCCGCTTTGACGGAATACATGTCGCGGCATCAAATAAGCAACTGAGAACGGGATATGGATCCCGATATAATGGTAATCCAGTCTTACAAAATCGCGGGAAAGTCCCCCGGCGCCTTAGGGCGTCGTCCCACCCCGGTCACGCGACCGGGAGAAAAATCGGCGTCCAAACAGCACGGCGGGGCCCCGCCGGCGATTTCCATTTCAAATCAAGCCCGCATTTGCAGCCGGCCCCGGAAGTGGGTCCGCCGAAGCCAGCCGAAGAAGAAAAGGCTTAGAAATACAGCACCGTCTGACTAATGCCCCTCTTCACTGGTTGACGGTGATGCAATCACCAAAGGGTGGTGTCACTCACTCCCGGCCCGCACTCCGATCTGTTTTAAAAAGGGGGGCGGCCTTCTTCACCCCGCACAGCTCTTCTGCAGATACCGCAATTGGCATCATTGCATCCTGACACCGGCTCTTTCCGAGACCTCTCCTCTGTTGTACTACGAAAGCCGTATTATGAGCACGATCCTCCGACGAGCACCCCAGCTGACAAGACGCACACTTCCCCGCATCACCCACACCACAACACAACCCCGCCACCAGCACATCGCAGCCATGACCACCGGCGTCTTCCGCTACGTCGACCCGGCGACCCTCGCCGGCGACAACAGCAAGCCCTGGACCAAAGTCGACACGGACGTGACCTCCTTCAGCCGCACCGAGCGCCGGCGCTCCGTGACCAACATCCGCGACGCGGGCGCCGACACCTTCGGCACCGACGTCTCGGGCTTCGCCGTCTACCACGCGCCCGCCGCCGAGAAGGCCTTCACGGACGAGAAGGCCGTGCGCGAGGGCTACTACGCCGAGGTCGAGGCGCTGCTGCGCGCGAAGCTGCCGGGCGTGAAGAAGGTCGTCATCTTCGACCACACGGTGCGCCGCCGCGACAAGTCGAGCCCGCGCCAGCCGGTGCAGCAGGTGCACGTCGACCAGACGCCGCGCGCGGCCGAGGTGCGCGTGCGCCGGCACGTCGAGGACGCGGCGGAGGCGGAGGAGCTGCTGAAGGGGCGGTACCAGATTATTAATGTGTGGCGGCCGATCGGGCACCCGGCGACGGACTTTCCGTTGGCGGTGATTGATTGGCGGACGACGGTGCCGGAGGACTTGGTTGCGGTGGATTTGCTGTATCCGAAGAGGACGGATGGGGATGATGATGATCGCGGGAAGGAGGTTTTGCCTGATGAGACGCTGGCGAAGTCGATTGATGGGTATGAGGTCAAGGGTGAGTTTTGTCACTTCTTTTGTGAGGTTGGATGAGTATGTGCTGACACTTTGAGGACAGGCGAGACGTATGCTATTGCGCCGAATGACAACCACAAGCTGTACTACATGAAGGACATGACGCCCGACGAGGCCATGTTCATCAAGTGCTTCGACTCGAGGAGCCAAGGGCTGCCGGGAGGCAGACACGGCCTTGCGGGGCTGACGCCGCATACAGCTTTTGAGGATCCTGCTACGCCTGCCGATGCCAAAGGACGACAGAGTATTGAGGTTAGATGTTTGGTATTTTATGACGATTTGTCTCCAAGGGAGGGTGCTTTTAGAAAGTAAAGATTTGGAAGAGCAGCATAAAGTTCAGCCTGGTATGAGTAAAGAACATGACAAAGAAATGAGAACGTAATTCAATGAGAATGCCAGCAGATATCCCCTTGTAGGGAAGGCGAGCTGTGAGCGTATGGAGGTGTTATCCAAAGAGTGCAATTTATAAGCAACATTGACAAGGGGTATCTAAATATGTTGATAACATAGGTATGTACAGCGACCGACGTAGTTGCAGGAGCAGCAACTTGACAATATCCAGAGTTGTATCTTCAAAGATAGTGACGATTGATCATCATGCCTCCTAGTTCGACTGGTAGACGGCCACGTAGGCGGTCTCCATCATGCTTCCGTAACCACCCAAGGTGTTGCCGTCGGGGTTACCGGGCTGTCATAGTTAGCAAAACTCCCTTCCCATCAGATCATTCGAGGAAACTCACCCAGTTGCCTCCCACAGCAACATTCAAGATAAAAAAGAGCGGTGCGCGCGCAAGCGTGTTCCAGATGCTCTCACTGCCGATCCGCGCGCCGGTAATCTGGTGAAACTGCACCCCGTCGCGGAACCATGTAATGCTCTCCGTCTGCCAGTAGTTAGACCTCCGGTCGATCTGCACCCGCCACGAGTGCCACCCCTGATCCGGAATTCCCGTCGCCGCCCCGATCCCGTTGGGCTCGTTGCACGCGCCGCCGGGGTTGGCATCGCAGTGCACCGTGCCGTACCCCGTCAACACACCATTCACCGTCTCGAGGATATCCAGCTCGCCGCAGCGCGGCCACCCGACGCCGTTGCGGATCGCGTCGCCGAGCATCCAGAAGGCGGGCCACATGCCCTTCTTGTTCGCGATGGCGTTGTCGCCGAAGCGGATGTAGCTCTCGGCGAGCGTGAGGCGGCCCGCGGCGGGCGTGAAGGTGTACCTGGACTCGATGCGCGCGGAGGTCCAGCCGTTGGAGGCGGCGGCGTCGCGCCAGGGCACGATCTGCACGGTGCTGCCGCCCGAGAGCTGCAGGTTGGCGCGTGAGGTGGTGTAGTCCTGCAGCTCGTTGTTGACGCGCAGGTTGGTGATGATGTTCCAGTTGGCGGTGTTGATGGCGGCGCCGGCGGCGCCGGCGAAGTTGTCTTGCCAGATGCGGGTGAAGCCGGAGTAGGAGGGGGCGTCCCAGGCCGCGACGAGGGCGGCCGGGAGGAGGAGGAGGTGGTGGAGGTGCATGTTTGGTACAGGACTTGAGGAAGGAATGTGTGTTTGTTTCCGAGCCTTTGTGTGTAGAGAAGGAGTGTGTTTGCGATAGACTTCAAGAAACAGGAAGGGACAGTGAGAGACCAAAGGGCTTTTTAAAAGAGGGAATGAAACGAGTCTATCGTGAAGAGAATGACATGTCTTGGAAAGCAAGATCACGATGGTGAGGACAGTCGCGGGGCCAAGCGCGGTGGTGGGTTGAAGGAGTGCTCATGAGAACAGGATGACAGCGGTCATCATGGGACTCGGCTGTTATATACAACGACCCCATATTGAGAGCACCCCATATCGAGGGATAGCCTCCGCGAAGAAGAAGATGCCGTGCCGGCCAAGGGCAGCTTCGGCCCTTGCGGCGGAACAGTTTGCTGGAACAACACCTGCAGGACCAAGTCCAGACCGCAGCTGCAAGGTGCCTAAATGCTTGGGGGATGAGGAAAGACACTCGTCTTTCCTTTTCCAAGTTGACAACAGCCCCCCCTCCCCCGAGTCTCAGGAGATCCATCCAATCTTCAGCAGCGATGCTGATTCGAAAGGAAGGGCGGATGGCAGTCTGGCTCATATATCCTTGGCCCCTCTGCTTCTGGGCACCCGGTTCTGGGGTTGCACAAAGGTCCATGCAACATCAGATGGACACGCTGCTGGCCCCTTCTTTGGACCCCACGAGAATAAGGAAGCACGCGGCCGAGGCAGCGGCGCGCTGCCTCGAGGACAGCTCATCTACACCGACTGATGGTGGGAGACCTATATGTCGTAATGTGTTTCCCTTGCTTGTTGCGCCGAGGGCTCGGCCACGCAGGACACATGTCTGTGGCGGTCATTGTTCCCGAAACAGGCATGGGGACATCTCGACAAACGTGCGTGGCCTGGAAAAGAAATGACAAAGGGCTTGACTGGGTAACCAATGAAGACGCCCAGAAGCCAACAGCCCGGATCTGGACTTTCTGTTCCCCCAAGACGGCTTTCCCCCCCGCCCTGGGGAGGATGTGTCGGCAGAGGCGTTGTTTCAATCTCGAGGACCTGCCAATCACTGACGGAGGATGCGGGTCCTTTAAAGAGGCGCGCCGCCCCCGGGAAAGTGTGGATGATCTACGCTCACTCGGTACCAGCGGCGCGGCCCATCTCTGGGCGATCTGGTTGGTGGGAATGGGACGGGCTGCATCGCTCTTTTCCAACACCCTTGGACTGCCCACGCGGGAAGTGGCATTCGGCTCAGCAAGCCCTTCCGGGTGACCCCTGAAAAATCCCAAAGGCAATCCACACTTTATTTGCCTGGCTGGCCGCTCTTCCTTCCCGCCTTTCGCCAAGCGGAGGGAACGCTGGTGTGTTTTCGTCATGGCCAGTCACGTTCGAGATGGTGACCAAGCTTGGGTGTTGGCGAGACCACGAATCAGGCGCAGAGAGATATTGGACGGCTTGCGTGCGACGAGGGGGCCAGTCAGAAGAGAGAACGGTACCTGAACGCCACCGCGCTAGCGGCAGTTGTGTAACTAGCGCCGTCATGTAGCAGCTGCGAGATCTAGACAGAGCGAGTGCGGTACTTTTGTGGTAGGTGAACAAACTAGCCTCGTCTGCCCCCCTTGGGTCGTTGGAGGGGGGTTGCAGTTCTCGCGGTTTGGGATGAATCATGGGAAAACATGCAGGTCAGCGACAGCAACATGAAAAATGCACGAGGGGGCCAAACGGGGGCCAGCTGCATCTTTGACAGGTGTCTTGGGAGGTCTCGGCAGGGAGTTTTGTGTGTTTGCTGCCCTCTCTTGGTATTGAGCCAGTGGGCAGCTGATGTTGGTGCGGACCAAGCAGAGCGAGGTTTCAAGCAAATGTTGGCAAATAACGGGTATTCGTCCAAGTTGAAAAAGAACAGTAGACTTGTAGCAGTGCATGTGAAAGTGGTCGATGGCACCTTGCCAACATCGGAATTAGGGCGGGTGAGAGGCGGCTAAAGCGATGTGGGCGGCATCCCTCAGTTGGCCGCGGTTCGGGCTGTGATTGGCCGGTTATTTAAGTGCAAGGGGGTCGTGATCCTGAAGGGGAGCTGTCCCAGTGGTGGTGCTGCTGATTGCTAGGTCGTAGCCATGCGATAGCCCCTGGGTCGCTAACATGAAAGCGCCCAATAAGGGAAGCACAAATCTCCAGAGCGGAGGAAAAGATCCCATGGTGATTTTTTTCTCGTCGTGCGTCATGAGAAACCGTCATGATTCATGGAGGTCTTCCCATTGAGTAAGAGGTTTCCGGCGTCATGACATGCTGCAGTCACCAGCTCCGGGTCACTGGGGCGGCACCTGGTGGCCCCTCATTTTGGTGTCTCCCGACCGGTGCGCCGGCGCTTACCCCACACTTTGTGCCGTCTCAGATTCGGCGCTGTCGGGCCCATTTCGGGGTGATCGTCGCATCGGACGGGTCAGGCGACCCGGTCACGAATCTCACTCGCCTCTCGGCAAATACAATGTTCTAGAATTTTTCGACGGCACTGCTGTGTGTGCTCCTGCTAAGCCGAGGCTGCGCTCGCAGCGCCGCATCCGCGAATACCCTCACTGATGTTATCAATTGTGGGACAGAATTGCTTTTTTGCGATGCATATTCCAGGTTTTGGATGCCCACGTGACGTCTCATCGTTGCGGTCGATCTCCATCCCCCTCTTTTGATGCCTTGACTAAAACCCCGCATGTCTGTTCAAGTCTTGAATGTAGTTCTGTATCGATGCTATTACTTGCGATAATTTATCTGTCTTCTCTCGCTACCGTGCACTGCACCCGGAAGTGCTACCTATAAATCAACATGTCATATGCCGGAGTTGGTCCGGTGGTCGAGATTGACTCTCTCGGCGAGGAACCGGACGTCAACGGCAGCCGAAAACGGATTCAATCGGATACAAACGATAAGACTGGCTCGAAAATGATCAGAGACCACAGATCGCAAGAGTTGGATGAACTAGGCGACCTGACCTTCCGCGTTGGACCGGAGCAATCAACCTTCAAAGTATGCTCCAGAACCGTCGCGCGCGCATCTCCGGCCTTCATGAGGATGCTCCACGGACGCTTCAAGGAATCTCGCCCGGAGTCAAGCGACTGGATCGTGGACCTGCCCGACGACGACACCGAATCCATGCAGATCATGCTAAACATGATGCACGCGCGCTTCGATTGGGTGCCGCAGCGCATCTCCATACAAGAACTCTACGAAATGCTGGTTCTGGTGGACAAGTACGACGCCCTCGACGTTATTCGGCCCTGGGCTCGAGGATGGGTTGATGCCGTGAGTGACGACCTGGATCAGCCTGCGCTGCTTTGGATCGCGTCGGAGTTGGGCGATTCTGCGCTTTTTGGTAAAGTGGTTATTGAGATCGCGACAAAGTGGACGGTTGACGTGGACGGCGCCATCATCCCTCCTCCTCCTCCTTTTGTTTGGGAGCGGGCAGCTTACGTACAGAAAGTTGAGAAAACTGAGCCGCTGTGGATACCCGAGCATGGATACCAGAAGAGAACAAGCCCTGTGACTCTGGATTTTATGAGAAGTCTGAAGGCGCCAGAGCTGGCTGGTAAGTGAGGCCATCATGTGAAGAAGTACATTTACTGATCCGCAGCTTCGGTAGAGATTATCGGTCATGCTCGCAAAGAACTGCTGATGTTGGAACTTCTTCCATATTGGTCTGTTATCCAGGAAATCCACACTGGTGGTTACGCGGACAGACTCATTGATGCAGAGACGATGGATGGAGAGATGTGTCTTGAACATGCCAATGACCACTACGATTGTGGCGCAACCCTACTATCCCGCCTATTGAAGGGTTTCCATAGACTCAATCAGCGGGAGCAACTTCCAGTTGGCAACGGCTTGCAAGGCTCAGGTTTCGCCCACCACTACCGAAAGACGGTCACAGCTTTGAGAGACACTCTGGCCAAAGCCACGTTCATCGAAGAAGACCACCCCATGGTCTACGAAGGAAAGACCTGTGATGGCTGTGCGGAATGGATGGATGAAACTTTGCAGAAGGAAGAGGAAGCGAGAGATCCGTCAAAGATACTGTCATCGATTCGCTCCGTCAGCGAGGACCACCAAGAGTATATGGCTCAACGAGGTGTTAGAACGGGACTCTACGTTGATCATCCCGAGGACAAGGATGGAAAAAAGGACTGAGGGACGGCCAGAGAATGAGCTCCGGCATGGTGTTTGAGTTTTTGGTGTTAGGCAGAGCGGCGCATACAAGGTGGCGCTTCCAGTATCAGTAGTAAACTGCAAAGTCAGCAACAGAGTCTTAGACATGTGAAACATAAACAAAGCCTGATAAAAAAGGGATGACACAGCGTCCTGACGACGAAATGGACCTCAGCTCTTTGTACTGTTCAATACGCTCACGTAAGACTTCGCTTCGATTCATTTTACCATGTCGATTAACTTCATAGCTTCCTAGGTCTCTTGTATGCCACTAGTACGTAAGTCCCACAGCCCATCAACATTGAGAGACCGCCAAACAGTTGGGCGTACAGATAGTTGCCGTCGTTGATGGCAATCAAGCGCCCTCCAATCGGTGGCCCCGTAAAACAAGCCACACCAACCACGGCCAAAACCATGCCCACTTTGGTACCGACCCTCGTAGGGTCGGTACTCAAATCACCTACAGCAGCCGGAAAGAGACTCTGAGTAGCATTTGCAACGATTCCGTAAACGACAGCCCAGCCAAACAGTCCCCCGGTGGAGGAGACTCCCGTCCAGCCAAGGATGAGAATACCACTTACGCCAACGACAGGAATCAACGTGTTCAAGATTCCGAAATATCTGTCCGCGAGCAGAGCTGGAATCACACGACCGAAGAGCCCAACGCCATTCATGACAATGATGGAAAGCAGCGATTGTGTCAATGAGAAATCCAGAACTGAGCGACCGAAAATGCCAATCTTGAAGTGTCAGATGAAGGAATAATATGCATGAGAGTTAGGACTCACGTAGAAGTACGCAAAGTAGATTCCCCAGAGGGCAAAGAATGAGCCAACGGCGAACAGCGAATACGGCAGCTCAGTGAATGCACGGAAATCAAATAACGAGCGAGGTTTGCGGGTGACAACGCGCGTCCTCGTGAAGCACAATATCATCATTGCGTTGAACGTGATGACGCACCCCATGATGATGACGGTCCATCTGAACCCCAACCTCGGCATCGCGAAGTAAGCAATGATGGGGAACACCATGCCGCCTGTTGAGGCGCCGCACGTCGCCAACGAGACAGCCAGAGCGCGGTTGTTCTTGAAGTACGTTGGAAGGATGGAAACGATGGGGGCGAACAGGAAGCCGTGCCCGAGGCCGCTGCAGACACCTTGGGCGAGAAAGAGCTGCCAGTACCGCGTTGAGAAGGCAGTCAGGAAGACGCCTGCGACTTGGAATGCGCAGCCGATGCTCAGTGACAAGCGGAAGTATCCCGAGTCGACTGTCCGACCTGAGAAGAAGCCGACGAAGTTGAGCAGGAACATCTGCATGGACCCGATCCAGGAGATGTCTGAGGCTGTTCGCTGCAGCTGCTCAACGTAGTACTGTTGAAAGAAGCCAAAGCTTTAGCAGGTCAGCATGATTCAACATCAACATTATCAAACTCACGATGTGATGTATCCCCAGCAATTGAAGATGACAAGATGGCCCATGGCAACCTGCGTCCAGGCCAGCAAACCACCGTCTGGAGTGTCGCCATACTGTCGTTGCTGGTCTGCCACAGATGCTACCGTAGCAGACGTGCGTTCACGGGCATCTGCGCCCATGATGCCTGACTTTGAGCAGACACTGAACCTGTCGTTAGATGCTTGGACATACCTTCATCGAGGAAGACGAGAAGCGTGTAAGTTCGAGGTGTTTGTTTCTGTGATCAGCTGACTTGGACGACGAGCTCAAGAGGCGGAAACGAGGAGCGCAGATCGCATCGACTCATGCAGGTCCTAGAACAGCTAGAACGGAACACTATCAAATGCAACCTTACCTTCATCCTGGCGCAAGACGACATGCTGCAGGTTGTATTTGCCGACGGCTTTTCAACGTTGTCGGCAAAATCGAAACCCCACGATGGCGGCAAGATTGTCTTTTTTCGGACCGGTCCGCGATGTCATGCCAGGGACCCAGAATGGCGTCAGATCGAACGACAGGGGCAAGCGAACTCTAAATCTGCATGCCAAGAGAAACACGACTCAGCTCAGAAAGAAGTCCCGTGTAAGTGCCTGACCAATCGTGATGAAATATCAGCCAGTGACAGGAGCAGGTAGAATGCAGTCCCTCCGGTCGAGACTACGACGGACTGGCCTTCGACACAGCTGATAATGGTTTTGCGACTTTCATTTTCCATCATTGTGGTATCTTTGGGCCATGTTGCCGGCTCAGCTTTGCAGCTGGCCGGTACGACGGCCTTTTTGGGCGGCAACACATACTGGATTGAACCACAGGCTGTCGGGAACCTCCCGAAAGACATCGTTGCCAAGGCTTTCTACAATCATACGGACGCCGTGGGAGGGTTTATTCCTTTGAGTGTAGTTCACTCCACGAAGCTGACTGTGGGAGCGCTTGAGAATGAGTTTGCCCGTTTCCATGCACGGGATGATGTCTGGAATCAAGAGTTTTCGAGTGGTGGGTGATATCTTATCCGCCAAACAAGAGAACTGCTGATAGGTCCCAGTCATTTACTCCCAAATTGCCGATGATGGGGAGGACAAAGGCGTATCCGTCAAACAAGAGGACGAATGGACTCTGGTCATTGACCAGCTAAGGAATGAGGCGCAAAGGATTGCAGAAGGACCATACTTTCTGTCCTTGGAAGGGACTTTTCATAGAGTTTTTCGACTCTATCCTGACTCCCAGGCTGCGTTTTCAGAGACCATCTACACCGATGTACGTGGAAACCACTCAGTCCTCCCTGCTGGTCTTGCGGGCGGAGGTCTCGCGATTGCAGCTCCGTCACGCCTTTACTACAAAGCAACCCCGGAGAAGCCGCTGGCAGGCGTTCGTCTCGGCGTCAAAGACATATACGATATCGCAGGGATCAAAACTGGTAATGGTAACCGGGCATGGTACAACCTCTATCCTCCTGCAAATCGGACCGCACCAGCGGTACAAAGCCTCATTGATGCGGGCGCTGTTGTTATCGGTAAGGTGAAGACAGCCCAATTCGCCAATGGCGAGTTTGCGAACGCCGACTGGATCGATTACCACTCCCCGTTCAACCCTAGAGGAGACGGGTACCAGGACCCCAACTTCTCCTCTGCCGGCGCTGGAGCAAGCGTCGCCTCATACGAGTGGCTCGATATCGCCCTTGGGTCTGACACAGGCGGAAGTATTCGTGGCCCCGCCCGAGTCCAGGGTCTCTATGGACTGAGACCCTCCCACGGGGCAGCATCTCTGGATCACACCCTACCCCTGGCTCCGGAGTTCGACACGGCCGGGCTTATCGCGCGGGACCCCGCTCTCCTTCGGGATGCGTCCGCTCAGCTTTACGGAGTTTCGGTGCATTCTTCCAGCGAATTCCCCAAAAGCCTGCTCGTAGAGTATTTTCCCGATGGCCTGAGTCAGGAGACAACAGAAGCTTTGGACCGATTTCTTGATGGATTGAGGGACTTCCTTGGAACCCAGACAATCACGCAATTCAACATCACCAAATTGTGGCAAGATTTACGACCGCCCGCGGCCCCCGAGACGCTCAACGGCCTGCTCAACACGACCTACGCGACCCTCATCAGCCGACGCCAGACCGAACTGGTCCGGGACCCGTTCTACGGCGACTACGGCCGCCTGCACGACGGGCGGCTCCCGTTCGTGAACCCGGTGCCATTGGCGCGCTGGGCCTATGGAGATAGTCTACCAGAATCCGCAGCTGATGATGCCGTCAGAAACATGACGTTTTTCAAGGATTGGTTCCAAGACGTGGTACTCAAGCTCGATAACAGGACATGCTCGTCGTCTATTATTGCGTACACCAGTCCGCCAGTTACTCAGTACAGAAATGTTTACCGGAGCCCTCCGACTATTCCTTTTGGATTCGCAACCTCATATCTGAGCGTGTTCGCTGGGGTTCCAGATCTCGTCATTCCAGGTGAGTGATGCAATCAGGCTTATGCCGATCCAGTACTGACTCATTCCTTAGTCGGTCAAACTCCTTACAACTCTTCCATCACAAAGCATGTCGAGAACCTGCCTGTCACTATCAATCTGATAACCGCTGCTGGTTGTGAAAACATGCTTTTGAGTCTCGTCGCTGAGCTAGCAAGGGTAGGCTTGGTGGCCCCAGCGGCGGTCGGAGCGAGCTCAGTAGACGGCGGAGAGATTCTGCGGAGATTCTAGGCTTGGAGAAAAGCTCTCCAGGGTCCCTGGTTGTCTGATCACGCAAGATCAGACTCACCGAGAAAGGCAAGTGGTGTTTCTGCCAAGAAGCACAGGGTAGTATCAACTCGGTAACCCTGGTGGCCCACATTGTCGGTATTGCTGTCGTAGATCCATCGACACGAGGTCTTGAAGATTGTCTACTGGGTGACCCAATGGCGCAATCAGCCCAATCCATTGTCAAAGTAGTTGGAGATAGCTTGTTCATAGCCCTGAAGATGAAGCGACAGTGCATGTAACATCACTGATAGCATGTCAAAGACTTCTATTTATTTGACAAAGCATCATTCATCGATAGTTTCCTTTTTTGACCGTGACCCCCTTAGCTGCAATGGCATCACTATCCCAGCCCGAACTCGAATCCATCCTCGCCGTTCTTCGACAATTTTCCCAGCATGAGGCACAGTCCGCCACCAATGAGCGCCCTGCCTATGAAGCAGTCGTAGCAAACAGACTGCGGGAGTTTGATGAGGCTGGGGAGCCGATATCTCTGCTTCTTCCAGCGTTTCCTTGGAAAAACCCCAACACTGACAAGGTATTGGGCCCAAGCCCAGATTTGGGAGAGGAGCTAGGATTGGCTAGACTGAACCATCTTTGCAAAGAGGTTGGGAAGATTTACCCGCGCGGAGCACGTCTGATCCTGGTTGCGGATGGCCCCGTTTACAATGGTATGTCCACTGCTCACCGACGCCACCGACGCCACCGACGTATGACTCGTGCTTGAGGAATGACAAGCTCACATGGGGATGTCTAGATCTTCTCGGTATACCAGACGCAGACTACTTTGATTATGGAGTTCAGCTTCGGGAATTGGCAAGACGAGAGGGGTTTTCACACATCCGATTCGTTCGCTTAGTCGACGTGCTCGGTCTTGGAAACGGCGATGCCATGTCCAAGGATGAACATCTCGCCATTGCTGATGCTTGTCGACGAGAGATGGAGCAGAGGTTCCTCGGCCCAGACCTTAGCGTCCAGGGAGAGGTCAGGGCCCACCCCGACACAGCGCTCACGTACCAGAAATACGTGAGATCTGCGCGGGAGGATCTCCGCTGGGGTCCCGAGGTCGAACCTCATATCACATCAGACGCAGCCAAGTATGCATCTGAGACGGAGCGGATCGCTGAGCGGATGACGCAGAGGCTGCTTGTAAGCAAGCTGGCCCGAGTTCATGCACGTAACCCTTACTGATCACATTTTGAAAGGCCTATGAAAGAGCCCTCGAACACAAGTTTCCACAAGTGATCAGACTATCCATCCACCGATCAACGGGGAAGAATAAGATCTCGATTCCGCTAATACCACAGCCTGGCGAGTTCGGACTCACACCTTGGCACTCCACTCTCTTGGTGACAGCCAATGGAGAATTCCGCACAGAGTTGTCCAAGGATATACAAGACACGCAAAAGTACGAAATTGTTGAGCGGGACGGGAAACCATACTTTGTGCGCGAGAAGCATTCAGATTTTGACTGGCCGAGTCATGTCACAATACATCACAAGTATGACGGCCTAATTATCTTGGAAAACACTTCAGAGGGTGAGAGCGATAAGCTGTTGACTCATGAGCTCGAGCTGAAGCTGGCGAGTTTGGCCCTCAGACCAGGTGTCGTAGAGGTTCGAGGATTCAAGACGTTGCATGCTAAAGTGTAAATCCGCACGACCTTATTATTTGTCACTAAAATTCTGAAGCAACACTCTTCGAATGAAGAGCCATTCCGGCGCCTATTCGATGCCTGAAGTGCGAACTCATGATACTGGGAAAGCTGGGTGGGTTTGCCGTTGCGCGGAGTTTCGGCGTTTTCCCGTGAGGGATGAGCCAGGTGCAGACTACGGCTCCCGTACAAATGCTGGCAACAGGCCGAGATGCAGCGTTGTGGATCAAATAATTCGAGTGATCGCCGCCAAGTTGCAAGTGTCGATTCAGTCAAAGACGCAACCGCAAGTTACATACGATCCTTCTGGCAGACTTGGCGGTAGTTTGGTACGGACATCAATTCAAATTGGGACATTTATCACACCCCTGGGAACAGATTCATGTCATGTTGTTCCAGTAAACATGACAGAATCTCCCAAATTTCCGGTCACTTGCAATGACCATCGGAGTATATTTCCTCTTGAGACTGCACCTGTGTATCCCCGTTTGAAAGATAAAGTTACATTTCGATGGAGACATTACTGCAAAAGAGCAAGCTTGAGGTGGTGCAAGCTGCAGTGCCACATGGCGTGCTCTTCAAAGTAGGAGCGTCTCACTTTTCATATATACACTGAGTTTGCGTGAGGTGATTGGTTTGAAACCATCTACACCGTGAGTAATTTAAAACCATAATTAGACGACAGTCATCACAAATAAGTGCATGTCGCTCTCGACATCCAGTCACCTTTGTTACATTTGCAGGCCAGCTTGACAACCTCATTCATGTGAATTTATCCCACAATGTCTACCACAGAAGTAATAACGACAGACCTCGCGTCTATCTCATCCGAGACTTACATCAAACTTTCTGGCTCACACCGTCTGGCTCACACGGCCGCCATCCACGTCCACAAGCCGAGACAAGCACCTCAGACTTCCAATACCAATTCCAAGGAACAGTACATCAATGATGAACAAGGGAAAGCACATCAAGACATTGTCTCTTCCATCATGGACATTCTTGAAAAATTCAGTCTTCAGCAACGCGGAAATACTCTCTTCGTTGGCCGAGACGTGTTTGCACCATGTGTCAATCGACATGTTTTTGCAGGAAGACGAATTCCCATGGTACTCCCAGCTTTTCCTGCTAAGAGCATCAATCGCGTCGACAAGGTATTAGGACCTCATCCAGACCTGGGCGAGGAACTGGCACTGGACAGATTGAACGATCTTTGCTCTCAGATACAGAATGTCTATGCTCCCGGGGCAACAGTTCTGATCGCGACAGACGGGGCATGTTACAATGGTAAGTATCAGCTACGGTGCTCTTCTCATGAGAATATCAACGGGCATGTTTACTGACTATAAACAGATCTCACTGGCGTCACGGACGATGATCTCTGGGAATATGGTGCTATTTTACGTAAGATGGTCGCAAACAAGGGATACCGATGTATCGACTTTGTGCGCATCATGAATCTTCTAGGATTACATGACGATTCTACGATAACGAAGGAAAGATTCATCAGTCTGCTTGACCCATCGAGGCAGGAACTGATGAGAAGATATGTTGATCCTGACTTTGATGCGAATTTGTGCATCAAGACGGACCCCGATTACAAAATGACTTTTGACGGCTACGCTAAGTTTTTGAAAAAGGACCTGGCATATGGCCCGATCAGAAACTCTGCGATCAGTGGGAAGAAGTACAAAGCAAAGGTCCATGAAACCGCCAAGGCGATGATTGCACGAGGCGTGGTGAGCAGTAGTCCATCTCTGAGCGCATACTTAACTCAGCTAAAACCATCTCTAGGCGTTTGCGGAGCTGATTCGGGAGAAGCTTCCTGAGCACGTCAGACTCTCCATTCATCCGTCAACAGGCTTGACCAAAATATCAATGCCACTAATCCCCCAGTCGGACACGTTCTCCATGACGCCCTGGCACTGCGCAGTGGCTGTTGACGTTGAAGGAAATTTCAGAACTGGACACCTTCCCACGTGGAGAGATACCCACGAACTTGTGTATCGAAACGGGCTACCGTACTTTTTCAGAGAGAGGTCGAGCCTGTACTCCTGGGACGCAAAGGTGGATTTTGAGCATATGTATGGCGGTGGTATTGTAGTACATAACGTGGGAGGCTCAGAGCAGACCAAGGCATCTCTGTCAGTCTCAGATCAAAAGAAGGCTGCATCGCTCGCGGTTCTTCAAGGGAGGATTCTATTTCGTGGATTTGTATAGTTACAGTCTTCTTGTTTACAGGTTGTTTTATGATACAGGCTGATGGCATAGTTATGTACCAATTTCAGCGAAGCTTCAAGCGCACATAGCACTGTACGGGCTTCCGTGTGAGGCTTGTAATACTCTTGTAACTCGACAAGTTCTCTGGGCACTTTTGGAACTCAAACGACCACGCCAATGTGGTTACCAACAGCTTCATCTCCATGTATGCCAGCTTCCGTCCAAAACAGCCTCGAAGTCCAAGACCGAAGGGCAATGTTGGACCAGCAGCAGCATCGAACTCATCGTCGCCGTTCTCATTCCGTATAAGCCAGCGCTCTGGCCTGAATTTCTCCATCCCGTGGCTGTCCCAGACTCTGAGACCGAAGTCTTTGGCTGCCTTTTGGCAAGATGGGCTACGCAGACGTTCGTCGATCTCATATCCTGGCTCAGTGAAACTCGGGCCCTTGTTTGGGACCATTACAAGGGTACCCTTAGGGATGGCATGGCCCAGGATGATAGTGTCTTCTTTGCAATCTCGATCCTGGCTGGCTGCTGTGTGGGCAAGTCGAAGCATCTCCTCAATAACTGCGTCTAGGTATGGTATCTTCGCGTCGCAAATCTCAGAATGTGTAGGAAGTCGATGTTCGGTCGCAGCAGCTGAGTGAAAGCCCCGAAGGCTGTAGAAGAGCTTTTGCTGAACTGATTGATCATCCGCAATGTACTTCAGACCCCAGCAGAGAGTCGTGCTCGTCGTATCGTGCCCGGCAACAATAAAGCCGGAAGTCTAGGTCAATGATACGTCAGCATGTGGTCTCGGGTGGTCAGTTGACATGTCTCCTTACCTCGTCTCTCACGGTCTCAATCCAGTTGGGGAGAAGGTGGCCTTCCTTCTCTACGACCCCGTTCAGTCGTCGAACCATCAAGTCGATTGCGGACTTCACATGTTTGTCCTCGTCGCCTGCATTTTGCGCCTGGAGTTTGTATCTCTCCGACGCTTGCAAGACCTGATCGACAAGAAACCTATCCCGCACCGCTCTGGTCCGACGAACACTAGGCATGAGGCCAATGATTGACCACGCGAGCCTTGGAAACCCAGTCTCGGCTACTCCGCCAATGTTATCCGCCCCCTGTAATGTTGCTTCGAGAGCAGGATGGATAGGCGCAACCGGAAAACTGAAAAATTCTTCGTACAGTGCTGCATTTCGCAAGGCTTCGATGTCGGCATTTGCTAACGCCTCAAGTTGAGGAACAAGAGCCCTCATCTCAGCAGCGTCGCCGAACCCGAAGTCGAAGACGGCATCTAGGGCAGCGTAGAAGATATCGTGCTCCGCAGAAAACGACTTGCCATTTGCAAGTTGCGCTTTCTTCTTCCAAAGATCCATGAGGCGTAAAGCACTCTTGTAGATGTTTGGAGCCGCGACCCTGTGGAGAAATGCCGGAGTCATCAAGTCCTGAAGTAAACGACGTTGAGCCTTCCACTGTGGGCCTGTCTTCAAGGTAATATGGAAGGAGTTTGCCTCGCCGGACAAGACACTACTCATGAAGTTCGAGCGATCAAACTCTTTTCGGCGCAGAAGAATATCCTGGCCCTCGCGGAAATCGGCAACGACGACAGCAGGTTTCGTAAAAGGGCCCAGCCAGATTTGGAAAATGGGGCTGTTGTGGCGACGGGACTGGGCAGAGATCCAGTTGAAGATGTTGCCAGGAGATTCCTTCTTGATCTGAGGGATATCGCCGAGGAGACTCTTCGTGGCGTCTTTATTATAAGGGATTCCAGGAATGGGCTTCGGCAGGAGGTATCGATAGAGGGAATAAAGAAGCGGCAAAACCGCGATGAAGGGACCTAGAATGCCCATACATGGCACGGAAGTGTTGGGTCCCGACGTATCTGCCATGACTGCGGAAGTTGAGTAGAGCTTGACAGAAAATGAAAAGTGCTGGCCTGGGACATTTATCAAATGGCCGCGAAAAGTCTTGCATCATGTTGCAAAATGGAGTCAAGCAAGTTTCATACAATATTCCTTTCGTGAGAAACCCAAGCCGACGGCTTTCAGTTGGGTCCGCTGGAGCTGGAGCGTACAGTAGCCGACGGAGCATAGAATAGTCCCGACGGATACGGAGAATAGTAGGCGTTTTGCTGCCCGGACGCAAGTTTCCGGCAACCGGGCAGTACCCCACTTTCCGGCAATGAAGTCGGCCGGCCGCCGCAGAATAGCTACCGCACCGCGCGTAATCGACTACATGTAGTTACGATTGCGTTTTTGAAAATACACTGGATTCCAATTTTATCATGCTTTCCTTGTCCTTGCATTTTCATTCCACAATTGATGAGAAGTACAGCAAAGATCTATGACTATTAGGCTATTGAGAACGCTGTCGTCGCTGTCGATTCAACGACGCGCAATTGACTCTTCAGAGGTGTTTACAGCAGTAGCTACGTTGGCAGTTGCCACTTTGCCCGATGCCACCTCGCCTTGAGATGCATCCCGGTAGCTTCCTTCCTGGCTGCGATCGTCCTCCAAATGTGTGAGCTTCGCCTTCCTGTTTGCAGATGTCAGTATTGATCCTCATTAAATATGGGGCGTAAATTGGCTCACTCTTTGCGTTTGATGTAGACGTCCAAAATGTGGGTGGCGATAATGAGTGATATGGCGCACCCCAGACAGAACGAGAAACCCTTCGGATATCGTGGGGACTCAACGGTAGGGAAGGTAAGAAGAGGCGTCCAAGCAGTTGAAGACTGTGCGATGATGGTGATCATCACGAGCGTGAAAGACCGCTGTTCGGGAGAGTCTCGGAGGATGGTGTTAACCCAGCCGTGTAACACACTGGAAAGTGCGTTGGACCAATACATCGTCGCGAACGCAAACCATTTTGCGCCTTCGGGCGCATCCCAAATGACCAAGATAATCAATCCCGTGACGTTCCACAGCGATGAGAACGTAATAGCCCACGCCGGCCCCAGAACCAAATCGGACAGGAAGCATGCCACGATATTGTAAAGGATACCAAGGGCAGGAGCGATAGTTCCCATCTCGTTGACCTCTGCAGAGGTGTAGCGGCCCAAGCTCTTGATCCAAAGCAGGAAGCTGCCAGTGCTCTTGTGAATACCGGCATTCCAAAACAGCACATCGACGAGGACGACGGTCCAAAATTGCGGGCTAAGGAAGATCTTTTTGATGTGCCCCAGCTTGAACTTGCCACGCGTAACATGACCACCTCTTTCGAGTCGGGCCTTAGCTACCTTGATATCGTGGTCGTTCAAAACCCAGCGATTCGGCTGGTCGACGGTGCCGGGGAGGAGGAAATAGCCGAGGATTCCGACGGGAATAGTGATGATGGCGCAGATGATGTACATCCACCGCCACCCAGCCATGCCGTGGACGCCTTCTAAGCGACGTGTTGCGCCGGCGGCAATCAAGCCAGCCGTAAGTGTTCCGAGATTGAGTCCCGTGTAGAATATGCCACCCCTGCGAGCGATCTCATGGCCGCGGTACCACGAGCCAAAGACATAATGCATGGCCGGGAAGAAAGCAGCCTAAAGATATGATCAGCTCCGATCCGACGTGTTTCGACGAAGTCCACATACCTCGAAGAAGCCAACCATGAACCTGTAAGCAGCCATTTCTCCAAAAGTCTGTCCACGGTATTGAAGAAGCGTGAAAATACCCCACAGAATGTCCATCGCTGGAATCGTCCAGTACATGGGAACGTAGGTGAAGAGAAACATGAAAGGCACCATGCCGACAACAGCGCCGACTGTGTACATGGTTTGCAGCTCAACCAACTCGTTGCCTTGAAATCCTAGCTCTTCTTTCATGCCTCCAACATAGGCATTGTCTGATCATGTCAGTGTTTGCCTGGATCGGCGAAAAGGCTGCTTGACCTACTCAGATTTGCCTGATCGATGTACTTGACCCAATAGCTCAACACGGCATACGGAACAACAATCATGTCAAGCTTGACAATGAGCTTCCGCTCCTCGGGCGTGTCATCGTCAGAGTACCATTGAATCTTCCACCACTTCTTCCTCGGCACGGTGTCGGCGGTAGGCATTTTCGGCAATCAGCACAAGGATGGCCGTTGAAAGTCCTGGACAAAGACGAAATGTGGCAGAAGGCCTTTCAATCCAAGAGCTTCCCAGCACCAGGGAGCTGGGACAATTGATTGATAACTCCTGCCCACCCTCCCCTGCACGTCAAAGTTCTCCCACCTTATCGATTGCGCCAGAGTCCCTGGGCCTTGTGCCATGCGAACCGCCCACTGCCCAGGCCTGCATTTGTGGGAAGAGTCCCGCTTCCGCGCATCCCCGGGAGTCGGACGGTGCCCGACCCTGGACAACCAACAAACCTTTCTTGGATGCTCCTCGTGGCGTATGCGAAGCCTGCCGGGAGTTGACCGACAATTTGGCCGCTCAGTGCGCGTCTTGGACGGTCGTCGGCTGAAAAGGGATGTGGGTGGGGCGCGTGGCTGAACGACACACGAGGGGACTGCGCGAGGTAACAAACTCTGGTTGGTGCTCAAGTCGTTGGCCGATGGGCCTGAACATGCTTAAAGTCGGAGATAAAGCCTGAAAGCGACTTTTCTATGGATTGTGGTGGCACGTTGCGGAGGATCCCGCTGTGTGCGCGGGGTTGGGTTGGCTGGCTGCAAATGACGTGCTTGATGCTGGTGATGGTGCCAGACGCGCAGATTGGCAGCGCGATCACCGAGACTGTCCCGGTATTTGGCTCATCCTGCACCAACCATAGCGCATGCAGATTTGAAGACTTTCGGGTTGGTTTCCATCATGATTCAATGGCGCCGGTGTAGAGTCAATGACACAATGGCGGCGAACTCTCACAGAACAGTCAACTTGGACAGCAACAGTTGGTCGAGAGATGCACTGAAGCCAATCATGTTTCCTGGGTTCCTCTTTGTAGCCCAGTCGTGTGGCAAACACCTTCACTCAAAATCAACTTCATCGAAATGGTGACACAAAGATTTCCGCTTTGTGCTAGATGTTTTGTGCCGTTCAGACAGAATGTCTCCCTGTCGTCGAAACATCGCTAAAGTAAGGTTTTGGATTTGAGAAAACTCATGGTTTAAGTTATCACGTCAGCGCCTAGTGGTTGCAACCAGCTCAGAGCGTTCGGTTGACTATGTCTATAGAGCCTGTTAACCCTCGAGTAGGGTTGGCGCTCAGCCCAAAAACATTGAGTGCCCAGCTCCTGGAAAGACTCAGCCTAAGATGGCTTTCGTATTAACGAACGGCAGATAAATTGCATAGAAGGTCCAGAATAGACTCAGAGCTTAGCTTTCAGTCATTGCAACATCGTTGGCGGTGAAGCATCAATGGACCAGCTCTGGAGAAGCCTTTCAAGAGTTTGTGCCAGGGCGCCGAACATAGTCAAACCTTTGACATCGTAGTAGTTGGGCCAAACCACACCTTCAACACAACTTTTGTCTTGTGGGTGTGCGACAAGATCTGGATTCTTGAGCTTGTTGAGAGTTCGGACTGATGATGGGGGTGTCGGAGACAGTGGTGTCGACGTGTCTGCAACTGTCAGATTATGCGACCTCGACGCGTATTTTCAACTCACCTAGGACAATCAAGCTGCGATAGTTTCAAAACAACAGCTTCTTTGTAAGACTGCGCAATTGCTTGTCCACCGGAAGTCATTCAACGCATCGGACCAAGACGACTGCCGATTGCCGGCTTCTTAATCTCTCGACTTCCTCCCGAGCGGATCCCACGGATGCAACACTGCCACTGAATCGTCGTCCCATCTTTTCCTCTCCGGACTGGGAAGCCGACGCAGCCTCCGTGTTCGCAACACCTCCATCGACCGGGCCCTAAATGACGCTACGTGGGGTCCCTCGGACGTTTCTGTCTGAGCAGAAAAGAAACCTTGGTACACCGGACGACTCCAGCGGTTCCCCCGCGCCACCCACTCCGATGGCGTGCACGAACCTTACTGGCTGGATCGTCATCCCAACGTCGAACACGGAATACGCAAACCGCCTCAAGACAGTTTCACGCCGTGCTCCAATCTGCCATTGTTGCTTACCAACATCATGACTTGACTTGTCCGTACGGTTCTTCAGTTGGGGGTTTCCGAAGGACACGAAGCAAGTGACGAGAAGAGCGAATGTACAATTATAAGATGGATGCATTTCCATAGGACTTTCAGCCCTTGGCGGTGAGTGCTGAACGACTAATGCTGGTGTTTCATTGTGCTTAAAATGGACTTTCTCAAAACAAACCCCCTCTATCTCGGAGGCGCACTTGTGTGCGTCGCTCTAGCTACGGTAATATCTTCAGCAGCATATAGTCACAACAGCTAAGACTAACAGATAATGACAGTACATATACCAAGGGCTCACAAACCCTTTATCGAACATACCAGGCCCGTGGTATACACGATTCACAACCCTAGTGTCAACATACTTCGTAATCACTGCTCATCATCCGGACTGGGTGCACGCTTTGCACGCAAAATACGGCCCTGTAGTGCGAATCAGTCCACATGAAGTCGACGTCTCTGATCCGCAAACATGCCAACGCATCCACAGTGTTAAGGGGGGCTTTCTGAAGTCGCCCTTCTATTCCCTCCTCATCACGGACTCGTCAAGTGTTTTCAATGAGATCCGGCCAGAAATCCACCGCAAGTACAAACGCCTGCTGTCGAACCCAATGTCGGAGACTGGACTGAAGACGTTCCTGCCACGCATTGATGGCAAAGTACGCATGGCTATCGAGCGTATCCGGGACGAGAACAAAACTCGTGGAGCTGCGGACATCGCCAAGTGGTTCATGTTCCTATCATTCGACGTCATTGGTGACCTGACCTTCGGCGAGGGTTTCGGTCAGCTTGAAAGCGGCGTTGTAAGTACTACAACCAACGTACCTTTACTGTATCTTGAATCTCACACAACACAGAAAAACAGATCCGTCAACGACTTCATCAGCCTCGGCTTCGTCGGCGGCCTGCGCTCCATGTTCCCCACGATCGCCTGGTTCTCCCTCTACCTCCCGATCCCCGTGTTCCGCGACGCCACCAAGATCCAGTACCGCACCTTCGACTACGCGCAGGGCGCGCTCGACCGGCACGCCGCGCGCGTCGAGGAGACCGGCGACGACCCCAAGCCGACCGTCTTCTCGAAGCTCTACACCGCCGGCGAGGAGGACAGCTGGTCGCCGATCGAGATCCGCGACAACGCGCAGGTCTTCATCGTCGGCGGCAGCGACACCACGGCCAACTCCATGATCTACCTCATCTGGGCCGTCTGCAAGCTGCCCGACGTCAAGAAGAAGCTGCTCGCCGAGCTGGCGACGCTGCCCGAGGACTTTGGGTACGAGGACCTCCGCGAGATGCCGTACCTGAACTGGATCGTCAACGAGACGCTGCGCCTGTATACGGCGCTGCCGTGCGGGCTGCCGCGGATCGTGCCGGCGGGCGGGTCGGAGCTTGCGGGGCACTTTATTCCCGAGGGCGCGACGGTGACGACGCAGGCGTATAGTTTGCATCGTGACGAGCACGCGTTCCCGGATCCGTACCGGTTCTATCCGGATAGGTGGGAGCATACTACCCAGGAGATGAAGGATTGCACCATGCCTTTTGGCGGTGGGTCGAGGAGTGAGTCTTGTTGACACCGTGATGCTTCTCATCGTGCTAACTAATGTCACAGCGTGCCTTGGACGTCACCTGGCTCGCATCGAACTTCGCCTCATCACCGCTCGATTCTTCCGCAACTTCCCCAACGCGACTGTGTCCGAGTTGGAGGGCATGTGTGACAAGGACATGGAGCCTGCATTGCACTTCTTGATGGTTCCGAGCGGCCATAGATGTCTGATCAAGCTCAACGGTTAGCCTGAGACGTCATTGTTCCAACTCTAGAACGTCTCGCATTATGTGTGTTGAGGGGTAATACACGTTGCTTCACAAGGTCACAGCGAATTTAGTAGAGTTCAATCACATCAAAAATGAACCACCTCCTATCTCAGTTTTTAAACACGTAAGTCATGCAACAATTTCCAACACGAGCTCCTCTCTGGACTTGATTTGGTATCAACTCAATGCTCCCCGCCGTCACTCTCTCAACTCCTGAAGCCATGTCCAGCCTCCACCATGCTGAACCTAAAGAAACAGTGTGAAACAAAAGGATGAAAAGAAGTTTGCCATGCTTAATCCACGTCGATAACTACTTTGAGAGCACCATGCTGCGCTGCTGCTCCAAAGGTCTCATACGCCTTCTCCATCTCGTTGAGCTTGAAATCTGCATCTTCCGTAAGCCAAACGTCCGAATGAAAGGAGGAAGAGGTCCTCTTACGGTGGGTAATCAGTTGAGAAGGCTGCAGCTTGCCAGACTGCACCAGCTTCAGAAGCATCGGCGTTGTCGTAGTGTCGACAAGCCTCGTGGTAATTGCTAAGATACGCTGTCAATCCTATGCTCAATGTCTCATTCACCCCCAGTCAAGGCTTACCAATGTTCTTATCCCAGAGATTCTGAAGATGAAGGTCCACCTTTGTTCCGTGAACACCAACGTTCGCCAACACGCCACCGGGCGCCAGCAACTCCTGACACAGATCAAACGTGGCAGGAATACCGACAGCTTCAATCACCGAGTCGCACCCCTTGCCCTCCGTCATCGCCTTGATGTCAGCGACAGCAGTCCCCTTGGAACTATCCACAACATCGGTCGCACCAAAGTTCTTGGCGACCTCCAACCGGTTCGGGTCCGTGTCGATGGCGATAATCTTAGACGGCGCATACATCTGCGCCGTGATAATCGACGCCAACCCAATCGGCCCAGACCCTACAACAGCGACCGTCCCGCCGGGCTGCACCTTGCCGCAGAGCACGCCGCACTCGTACCCCGTCGGGAAGATGTCGCTCAGCATGACGAGCGCCGCCTCGTCAGCGCCCGCGGGGACGGGATGCAGGCTGCTCTCGGCGTGCGGGATGCGCACGTACTCGGCCTGCGTGCCGTCGATGGTGTTGCCGAGGATCCAGCCGCCGGTGGTGCAGTGGCTGTACATGCCGCGGCGGCAGTACTCGCAGGTGCCGCAGTTGGAGATGGCCGAGATGAGGACCTTGTCGCCCTCCTTGTAGCGCGCGACGGAGGCGCCCGTCTTGTGGACGACGCCGACGCCCTCGTGGCCGAGGACGCGGCCGGGGGCGCAGGTGGCGACGTCGCCCTTGCGGATGTGCAGGTCCGTGCCGCAGATGGTCGTCTTGGAGACCTTGACGATCACGTCGGACGGGTTGACGATGTCCGGGAGGGGCTTGTCCTGAAGGGTGACGGAGTTGTTGCCGTTGTAGACGAGGGCTTTCATCGTGGAGAGGTAGCGGAGGGTGAGGGGGCTTGCGGAGAAGGCTTTGTGACGGAGTGGTGAGGAGATGCTGGCGAGCGCTGGGAGATGGGATCTCGAGGCGCGGAGCAGGAATGATTTGGCTGCTCGCGAGGTGGCTGCCATTGTGAGGACCAGATGAGTGAGTTGTGCGGGGTTGTTCGGCTGACCGGATGGTTTTCAGTAATGGTTGCAATGAATACAACACATAAACTGCGGAGAGGGCAGAAAGTTTCGAGTTTCTCGGATGAGCAATTCAATTGAGGAGGTTCAGAATCGGAGGATAGCGCGTCAAGTGTACTTTCAAGCGCAGATGTGGGTGGTAACAAACAAGTTATAGCGTCACTTATGAGCTTACCGATTGATGTAAGATGGCGAGATGGGCCTCGGACTACGGTATCCTGCAAAGTCTATCATTTTATCAGATCATTTGACTGCCAAAAGTGCGTCGGGTCCGTGGTCTGATCTTCCATGTTGGTTCGGCGACGTCAGGGACATTGGTGGGGGTATTGACCCGCATGTGGGGGGAAGCAGCTGATTTTGGGTCCGGGGTTAGCTCCAGCTTACCTGGTGAGGTGAGTTGTCTCGTCAAATGAGGATACTTTGCTGGAGCAATTGGGTGACTTTTAGTTGTAACTGGTCATGGGGATCAATTCCTTTGACAGGCGGGGTCTGTCTGGGGTTATGTCAAGTTTGGTGGATGATGCACCGCCCGATGGGTATCGTAGCAGCCCCGCGCTCCGTCGCATTTCACAAATCCAGCTGACTTGATAGGACAAGGTCCGAGATGTGCTGTTGCGGCCCTGCCATGACCGTCGATGCTGCAGTGGGTTCAGGCCATGTTGCCTCAGCTGGACCTGGGTAGGGGCATGGGGAGGCATTGATCAATTGCTCGGTGGGGGCGGCACACATGCGGAGCCGCAGGTGCGGTTCCGCGAAGTGGATATCTCGGTGTGCGGATTGCGAACCGAGTCGGAGCCGGCGCCATGAATGGTCAATGACCCCGCCTTACCGGTGCATCCGGAGGATTCGGCGCTTTTGGAATTTGATTGAAGAGCGCCCCTTTTCGATGTTACGGCGTCGCAAAACACTTAAAGGAACCATAACAAGCACTGCCGTTCTCCCTTCCACACAACGTCTTTCTTTGCTCCAAATGAACCAAGTTGGATCGTTTGCTGCTGCAATCCGGCCATGGTCCCGTCACGCCCTCACAGGCAATGCTCATGACGGGCCCGGGCAGGCGACTCGGATCGGATCGGGACCAATTCAGATCCACAGCGGAAGCAGAGAGGGTCCGTGGTTTCGCGGCACGCGGGGAGCGGGCTCCCGCTCGAGGAACTCGGTAAACCAACTCAAAACGGAACAACAGTCAGACAGGCCGGGATCTGAGACACTCTGGCTATTTCCGGCTGAATAGCAAATCCGACCTGTGCAGTCCAAGACATCCCTTTCTAGAACACTAAAAAAACTGGGTAACAAAACCAAAGCAGTCCAAGACATGCACAGGTGAACTCTGTCCGAGTCGTGTTTCTCCGGGCGGGACTCACCGCGAAAAGCGGGGCATTTTCAGTAAGCTGACAGACAGACGTTGCCCGACGTATGTAGGCCATCAGCACAGGCCCTTTTCTTTGGTGCTTTAATTGAGCTAGCTGGTGCTTCTGGCATACAATGAAAGTAGTAAGTTGTCAGGCACTTTGCAAACAAATTTCGTTCCGAATTGGCAAGCGGCTGCCCGTACTCAGCGCGCGCCTCACGGACAGCGGGGGCGGGTGAGCCGTTCGTCATTCTGCCGTATGGCCCCGCCATCGGCTGCACAGGCCCCACTACCCCGCCGTCGCCCCTGGCGGCAAGCTGACCCGAACGCGCCATGACTTCATGCTCAACAACCTCCCGTCGTACGTGACAACGTGTACCTGCCTTCCGTTACATTAAGGTAACTCAATCTCACCGCCATCTCACGCTCGTCTCATACTCTTTCCTTCCTTCAACCCACGAACGCCTCTTCCACACCGAGCCCTCTTCCATCGTCTTGACCTACACCTCTGATCCCTCGTAGCCATCACACTCAATCTCAGTAATCATGGCCACCTCTCCCAGCGCCAAGCGTCAGAAGTCCTCCAAGGACGTCCCGTACGAGCTCATCTACTGGCCTGGTCTTCCCGGCCGCGGCGAGCACATCCGTCTCGCACTTGAGGAGGCCGGCGCCGAGTACACCGACACCGCGCACATCGAGGACGGCGTGAAGTCGGTCCTGGCTCAAATCGACGCCAAGAACACCGGCGACGACCACAACCCGCCTCCTCTGGCCCCTCCGATCCTCAAGCACGGCGACCTCGTCATCAGCCAAACACCCAACATCCTGCTGTACCTGGGCCCTCGCACCGGCCTGGCCCCCAAGCCCGATGGCGAGGACGCGGACGGAATCTACCGCATTAATGCCCTTGTGCTGACCGCATTAGACGGGCTGAGCAATGAGGTTCACGACACCCATCACCCGATTGCTACGGGGCTTTACTACGAGGATCAGAAGGAGGAGAGCAAGAGGAAGGCGAAAGACTACCTTGAGAACCGTCTGCCGAAGTTTCTGGGCTACTTTGAGAGGGTTCTGAAGGGCAAAGCTAGCGGTGAGGGTTCGTGGCTGTACGGAGGCTCCTTGACGTATGCCGACTTGGTTCTGTTCCAGGTGAGTTCGTTCCGACAAACGCAGGTTGGAGGCCGGTGCTGACATAAGCAGTGTGTCGATGGCGTCAAGTTCGCGTTCCCCAACGCGCTGAAGCGAATCGAGGGAAGCGGCGAGTACAAGTCGGTTTTCGAACTTTACGAAGCCGTTAAGGAGCGCCCCAAGATCAAGGAGTACCTTTCTAGTGACCGTAGACAGAAGTATAGCGATGGCATCTACCGTCACTACCCGGAACTGGATGAGGAGGCGTCTGCGTAGAGATCATTTTTCAACAACGTGGACAAATGATGAGGAAGGGAAGAAAACAAAAGTATTGTTTATCTGGCTTGCTCGTGAGCCGCAGCCACTAAAAAAGCCTCCTTGAAAGAAATAAAGTGAGCTCTTGACTTGCTCATCCATTGCTGTGATTGGTCAGTGTCAATTGCAACAAACGGAAGGAGCTGCTCTCAACACCTCCTTCCCAATTCACACCCATCTGCTTGACTAACTGCCACCACTACATCTTGAACTTCACCTTCGCCTTGTCAACTCTCAAAATTTTCCAACCAGCACCCTAACAACCCCAATCCCAAACCAGCCATCACAACATGGCGCGCTCCCACTTGGAGGTGAGCTTTGCCAACAGTGAAAGTTTCTCTCAGCGCGTCTCTCACATATATATCCAGACCATCAATGCCCGTTTTCGATCAGCCGCAAATTCAGGCACCCTAAAGCCAAGGGGAGTCTTCAATAACAGGGACAACAAGTTCATCAGGGACATCAAAGATTTCTACAAGAACTTGAAGAAGCGCGTCAAGGCCCATTCGGACAAGGCCTATGGTTATGAGTCGCCGGTGGACGATTCGCCCGACGAACAAGACCCGATAAGCGACACCACAGTTGACAAGGAGGACCAAACCGTCGTCTGTGGTGGCTTCATTGATCCTAGCAATGAGGTATGTGATTCGTTTGCACCTACCTCGCTGACAAAGACCACGCGCTCTTTGATCATGCTGCTGACAATGAGCAGGACTACCAGCGTCAGAAGGCTCGCGAGTACTTCAATGGCCTCATGGCGAGAGATCCTTCCGCCTCTGAACCCATCATGACAGTTGCTCGTGATCTTCTTCAGTATGGCTTGGAAAGACCGCTTCCTCCTCCTTCCCAATCGACCCTCAATCTTGACCCCATCCGAATGGAGAAACTTCGTCATCTCCATCTTCTCAACTCAGTCCGACTTTCCAACGAGGTGACCTCATCAAAGCGCCCAGCCGCTGCCGTCCAGCATCCTCGCCCGGTACCTCGCCCAGTAGCACCCAAAAAAGCCATGTCTCCTGCGACCAGTCGCGCCGCGATAACTAGCTTCAGCTGGCAATCCAAGTTCCTCGAGATGGACTCCATGCCGGGCGGGTCGAGCCAGGTAGTCATTGTGCCCGTTCATCGCGCAAAGGATCAGCCGGAGCAACAGCAGAGAGTTGGACAACGCAAGTGAGGAATCGGACGAGATCGATCAAGAGAACGAGAGCAAGTGTGTTTGATTGAACTACCGAGCGAGGTTTGTCCCTAAAACCCACTGCCCCAAATTTCCCGTTCAAGTCCCTGACAGGGGTATTTTACAGGGTACCTGTTTGTCCACCGGCAGTGCAAGTATCCACGGTCTGGCCTTGGTTGAGGACAGAGACCTCGTTGGGAGGAATTTCCTGGACACAGCGGCCGAAGCGGTCGCACTCGCCATCCTTGCTGCCGACGCTGCATGCCTTTCCTACGTTGCCGAAGAGAGCGCTTCCCTTGCCGTCAATGAAGTTGCGGGGGACAGATGCTATGCGAAAGATCAGGGTCAGCAAGCTTCATCTTGCGCATGGCTTTCAGTTTCGTACCTGCGGCAGCATGGCCCATGGCGAAGGCAGCAACAGTGAGGAAGACGGCGGTGATTTGCATGATGGCGGATTTTGGAATGTTGAGTAACTCAAAACTGTAATTGAGATGAGGATATTAAAAGATGCTCCGGGCACTAAGAGAATTGAAGAGATTGAAAACAAGTCTATTGCGATGAAAGGGCTGATGAGTTGAGTGATCAAGAAGTGCCACTGATGGCCTTGAAGACATTTTATATATCCCATCTCACCAACACCTCGCCATCCTATATTCGCCCATTCTAAGCTTCAATTGTAGCTTATTTCTGCCCACTACGAGGTGACCCGGGGTAGCGCACCTCCCTCAAACAGTCTGAGACGCGTGATGATCGTTACAGTGGGTGTCAGCTCGACGCCTAATAAGACGTCGCATTATGGGTGGGGTCGAACGCTGAAAGAAAGTTCGCTATCGGTAAATCATGGTGATCATCCCGCAAACTCTGGGCGACTTTAAGCGCTCCCGCGGCAGATCACCGTGAATTCTTTCCCTCGGTGTCATTTTCTCTCTGTTGTGTTTTGTTATGACAGCGTTGACTTGCAGAAATCAACACTATCGGGCGCCGGCGTCGAGGACCAAGACCTCGCAGTACATCCACTACGTAACAGCGTCCCATCCTGGACTTTCCGCTACCACGACTGTGCCGTCAACTGATCCGTGCCACCAAGCTGCCAGACGCAAGCTGGGGACGAGAACACTGCTGACTCAGGCCCGCCGGTGGGATTTACCTGGCAAGCAGGAAGCGAGACGGAGAAGCCTAGTGGTCATAAGCTTGCATCACGGCGTTTCATGTCCCTTACAGCAACCTGTGAAACATCAGACGATGGCCTTATACTACTCAGCTCTGACAGCTGCCATCCAATGGCGCACTGCTTAAAATCATCCCTTCCCCACCCCGCGGCTCCCGTGGGATGGTGTCGCGTGTCTCGACCGGCAACGTTACCGGCTGGGCTTTGTGTGGTTTGTGGTACTTGCTCAAGATGGGCGGGTAAGACTTCCGCCGTGGTCGTGATGGCGCACCCAAAGTCCGCTTGTGTCAGGAACTGATCGAGTATTGTGCCCCCGGTGAAGCACGGGTCATTCTGTTTAACCCAGGATAGTTATCTTTAGCGGGATTCCTAACGCTCAGCGATCTTATTTGCATATGAGGAGTTTTGGGATATGAGAGTTAGCCTAGCTTGACGTATCTTGAGACGCTCAGAATTTTTGTTGCCTCGGCGATGCTCAAAATCTGAATAGAGACAACCTTACTATAGCTATTTTGTCGAACTCGTCGAGTAACTTGTATTCACACAAGCCACATACACCCCAAGGAGCGTAGCCTGGCAAGAGCCTTAGAGGTTGCTGATCTCGTCGGAGTTCTAGTCCTCTACTTTGGTGACTATAGCCACATGGCTAGCTGGCATGTGACAATAATAGAAATCCAAAGGCCAATCATTAGCAATGCTAAAGCACTGGCCGAGTCATGAACACGGATGTTGTAAAACTTGTATAACGATACCGACTACAACTCATGAGATACGCTGGCATCCCTGAAGCTCCCGTTTCATTCCTGAAGGACACCTGGCAATGGATCTTACCGTTCAGAAGGGGCTAGATTATACCTTTACATGCAAAAGTTCAGAAAGCCTGTTCTCCTGCCAGATCCTCGACGGATCTTTAGAAGCGCGATGACGGAGACACCGATTTGGGCACGTTCAAATTGTTCGAATTTGCGAAACAAACAGGTTGCGTAATCTAAAGTTTCTCTTGAACCTTTACTTGTAAGTTCTTTGTTGAGAATCAACGTGCGTTTGTCTGCATACCATTTAGAGTGGCAGACCTCTGCTGCAAAGCCGACATCGACGGTTTCCTCAACCTCAAGGTTGCCTTCTCATATCCCACGAATGCACCAATCACGGCTGAAGTATTGCGTCCTCACCCGGCAATTCTAGCATATAATGCGGCGTTGTGAATATGTCCGACACCTCTCATCGTATCTCTCCAGCAACAAAAGCCTACTGGCCATGAACGCATAACGGGCCCATCTTTCAACCATCGCATCACAGCATCTGCGAGATCGGCCGAACAGTACCCCGCTGCCCGCGAACTTTTTGAGATGGAGTGCCCACTGCACTGACTCGTCGTAGTGCGACTGCATCCAATGAGTGGTTGACTCGTCCCCGAAAGGGGAAAAATTGGAGTATCACGAGAGTCATACAGCAGACGCTAGCCTTATGGTTTGGCCGATCCATTCGCTGTGTAATTTGTTTCCTCTCCAATTCTAGGCTCTCGCGGACTCTGAGAAAACTTTATTCTTTGTCTGTACGACATACGAGTAGTTGGAAAATCCACTTTACGGACACTTCGGCCGCCTTCGCGAAGAGACACAAGCTGCGACGGGGATATTGTCCGGCGGGATAGTCAGTTATCGATGGCTTCCCGGCAAAAGTTTTGATGGCACTAGGCTGTACGTTTAGTTGATAGAAGCAGAGAGTTTAGCACATGTTCAGTCAATTGCTGCTGTCAACTCACAGCGCAGTACCATCAAAATTTAGGTGCCATCATGAGGATGGTCCGGCGGGCTCCGAGGAACGCCTGGACATGCGTACCCAATACACCGGGATCTACCCGAGATCGGAGCATTGGACGGACACCGTCACTTCAACTCACCTCTGGGCCGTGACAACAGATGAACGGCGTTGATTATGGACGGGAGCCCGGGTTCCCGTTTTTGAAGACTCCCGGAGACAAAATTCCCAGGGAAATCTTACGCTAGCAGCATACTGTACCTTATAGTTGCCACGGTACTTATCGAGTACCCCTTGAAGTCAATGGAGCTGCCGGGAGGACAATTACGTGAACAACAGCGACCAGTCTCAGGCACGATGTGGTGAAAATTTAGGCCACAGGCGGTAGTCGTCTGGCTTCGGCATGGACAGTTGCGGCAGAAGCCTACGATTTTAAGCCTCTGGTAAAGTTTCCCCGCGGTTCCGGATACGATCTACGAGTAATCCGTTATTCTTGGCCGATTAATGATTTAGATGCAACACCTGTGATTATTTCCGGGCTGGCTGTGTGGTGGTGCTAGGTTGTGAAACAGTGGGGTGTTCTGGGCCTCAGCTTCCTGTTCTGGCATAGCTCTCTTGTTCGACATGGGGATCGAACGTCGGCGTAATAATAGCAGCAGAAAGTATCCCGTCGGCTCCCGACATGACTCCAAAAGCAAATCCTACACAAGCATCTAGATGCAGAACAAGCAGAGTTGAATGCCAGGAGAAAAAAAAAAATCAAACGTTCTTGATTGCGGTGGTTTTAAGTGTTCAATTGTCCTGTTCCGGGTCACGTGGTAGCACGGGATGACGTACTCATCAGGGCGGTTAGCCGCAAGTTGCTATAACAGGATAAAGAGGGAAAGAGATGAGTGGATCTGCAGATCATGATGACTTTCCATCCACCACGGTCCGCTTCTTAAGGTTGCGGTTTGTCCGATCGCCTGCCGCCTTGACATGCGCTTCTGCGGGATAGAACAAGGGTTGCGCAAGGCTTGACAGAACCTCAGCTTGAGCAGGCGCTTCTTTGATTTTCCTATTCAGTGTTCCAAAAGTCTTGACAGCCCGAAGGGAATCAAGTCAATCCGCGACCCGGAGCAGTCTAAACCACAGTCTTCCGTTGATCTTTTGTATAGATAACGACAATGTCACCGTGTTCTGTGAATAGCTGCATGCCGCTATTGAGGGAAATCTTTAAAGGGCATCTGCTCGAAGTCTCAGCCATATTGATTGGGGCGGGCATTGAATTTAAGTCTTGCGGTGAGTGGTCTCTGACTCGTCATAACCCCTACGGGGCTAACCAGGAGAAGATGCCCGTTATTCAATGCGTTCAAGCGAGACCGCCATGCTTGAGTCATGAGCTAAGATCTACAACATACATATACTAACCAACAAGAACTGCTCACCTCTGCAGTCGTCACCAGTTTCAGCAACCAACCGCTCCGTCTTTCGTTTTTCAACTATCGCTCGCATACCTGGCCAACATGAAGCTCGCTGCTGTCCTTTCCGTCGGTTCTCTCTTGCTTGGATCCGCCAATGCGTGGTGGTGCACCGACTATGGCAAGGAAGCGTGGCATCTGAGCTGCAAGGCCCTGTACCCTGTATGTTTTTACAAGAACATGGCATACATCTGATTGCACCTGGATTTACTGACATGTGATTTTCTATTAGGACCGCAACACTTTCTGCTGTAGCGAGGCAGAGGGCGGTGACCGTCACACCTGGCGAGGCGACTGCTTAATGTCCTATGACGAAGGTTCCGCTTGCGGCGATGGCGGATTTGAGGGCTGCGTAAGTCATGTCTCTTCTTAATCCCAAGTTTGCAACATCACTGACGTTTTTGAACAGTGTTACTAGGAGTAGGCAAGGCGCATGTTCATGAAGCAATTGATCGAGCGGGGCAATATGTACATAAATGAGATACCAGCCAGACACAGGCCATCCCCGCTCAATCTACCATTTTGCTAGAGAGAATTCCGTCCAGCGTGGCAACAGTCATGTCTTATCACAGCTCGATGGAATCCATCTTGATCCTCGAGGGAGGTGCGAC